TCTCTTTAGGAAACTATTCCTGTGCATAATACTGAAAATCAGAAAATATTTTAAAGTGGTTTTAAAAACAGACTTTTCAGAAGACATTACATTTAGTAGATTTTTTTATTACAGATTCTATATAGAATGTATAGGATTGCAATTGAGAGGCTTTCCATGTTCTTCTGTCTACAGCTCTTTCCAGTAATACATGTGCTATTCAATCAATATAGGCAATTATTCTTCAGTCAAAGAAATGTAACCTATTTCAACTCAATTTCTAGTCCACTTAAACCAATTATGTTCACTTCATCTTTTGTGACTAGCAATTAGTATGTGGTATTCGTTCATCAAGTTCATCATGTTGAAGATTCTAGGGGCCACTTCACTTCTCTGAAGTATCTGCCATTTCATGAGCTCAGCAAACATATCTGCATTGAAATTAAAAGCAAGCTAACATGGGAAAAGTCAGAATAAAATAAATAGAGAAAATAATTTTTCATGCTCATGTTTCTTTCTTTTTTTTGTAACCATTTTTTGTACTCCTCCACTACATGATTGTGAAGTAGAAATCAATGCCTTATTGCTCTTCATTGTAATGCAGAAGCACTGAGCTGTGGTTGGTTATAGCAGGAGAACTTTCATGATAAAAGTTATGCCACAGCTTTAAATTCTCACTACATCATTAAGCATCAATTCACAGGGACAGACGGTGCCTAAGTTTTCTAGCAGGGAGCTACAAGGCATGTAGAGGGCAAGCTGTGAACCTTTGTAACAGTGTAAGATGGAATTCCTGCACGGAGTTCATCTGCCTGAGATGAACAGCAATAACCTGCCTTAAAAGAAAGCAACTGCAAGCAAGACAGCTTCAAAACATCAGAGCAGCTCCTACAAATTTCTGAGGATAAGGCTGATAAAAGATTTGCCTTTGTAGAGGGGCAGAAAGACGTAAGACTATGCGATCCAAGTCTGGTAGCACGGCCGTAATTGTAGAGATCTTCACAAGGTGTCTCAGAGACCTTTTTCCACATAAAACACAGCTTTAAGAAAACCTACAGCAAATCCATACAAACAGAAGAGACAATTACTTCCTTTGGGATTTAAACAAAAACAAAAAACATCAAAACAAAACAAGAAGTTGAGAAATGTACCTTGAAGTTTTTTGCATTCCAGTGCTTGTCATCTCCAGTTTGGCCAACACGGCTGTTGTCAAGTTGTAACAGTTACCTACAGCAACCATTAGCGCCGATTAATGCAGCCTGATTTCTTCAAATGCACATGTGGCATGACATTTCAGTGAGTTGTAGGTTTGCAGAAATTTTGTGTGTCATTATTCAGAAAGAAATTATGGCAAATGCTGAACTTCTAACCAAAGTACACATACTATTTTCATAAATTGTGGTAAGTACTTAGAATGCAAACAATGTTGAGGACGATATGCTGTATTCTTATGTTAAAGAAGGAATGCAACCTCTTTTGAAAGCAGCGTTATAACCTACACCATTTTAACTGAATAAATAGGTCTACCTGTACTATATAGTCCTGGCCCTTTACGTTTCAAATCGCCAGAAAGTCCATTTAGATTTTGGCACTTTCTATACATACAGACATGTCTGCATCTAAATGTTTTATGTGCTCAAGAAGTAGCCCTGGTTTCTCTGACTTAGCCCCCCAAAATGATGTTTAATTGCCTCTCTGCAGACTGTATGTTTCTTACCAGATGCTTTTGCACTGTCTGAGCTCCAAAACAACTTAATGTAAGCAAGCTCCATCCAAAAGCTGCACAGCTTTGCTTGCATAACACTCTAGCCAGATCTGCCTACCAAAAGGTTACAACCGTATGACTACTACAGCCAAGGCATGACTTTAAAACCAGACTTCTCAATTTGTATTCTGTGCGTAATAATTTTATTTCAGGGCAAATTCAAGACTGTGGCTAACTCTTATGTGGTAACTGGGCAAACCATTCGGCCCTTGGTTAGTGCACCTGAAGCAATGTTAATAACAACTTATTTTAAAGCACTTTGTTAGTGTCTCTCCAGCTGATGAATAAAAAAAAGTATGTAAAAAAACCCAGTAAGAGTTCTAAGAAATCTGTACTATATCATGTACCTACTAATTTTCAACAAAAACTACTATTTACGAAACATCTTTCACCATAAGAACTGTCATAACTGCAGAAAGCTTTTCTCCAGTGTATTTTTATTAGGGATTCCTGCCATCATATCAATATACAAAACAATCAGGATGTTGACATATAGAAATGTGAAATTCACTGTACAAAGATAAGGCTCGAGTTACAGGTATATTTTCCCCTTAGTCTCCATGAAATAAAACCATTTTTAATTCTTCCCAGAGTTGTATTTATAAATGTTAGACAAACCACAAAATAGATTTCAAGTACATACATTTTACAATATAATCCAAGCACAGACAGAAATACACAACACTGTACCTACAGATGCTCCATAATCCAAGTCTGTCATCCTCACCAATAAAATACTAGACTGCCACTCTCTCTGAGTATGCCCAGCCATATCCTTCTGTGTGTGTTACGTGGTCCTGGCCTTCAAGTTATAGGACTCTCATGACTTTCAGTTAAATTACTTTGATAGACCAGAGAGTATCAGGAAGGAAAGGAAGAATTTTAAAAGGCCAGGCCTGAATGTACGCACATGGTTAGTAAAGGCAGGCACATGTGCACACACACGCTTGCATTCAACCCTACCTAAAACCTCACTGCACTGCACATTTTCTGAGATTATCTTCTCATGCAACTCAGCTATTTTCTGATAGAGTTAAATCAAGCATGACAATACTCCTACTTCTGGAGTGCTGTAATTCACAGGGACAAGACTATATTTTTGAGCATAGGATCTAACTTTTTTTTTTTTTTTTTTAAAATAATTATCAGACCTATAGGAGCCTGTATGGAACCATGTCTCCACAGTCCAGCAGGATGCCAGCTCTCACAGCCTTCACCACTCGAAACACCTTTTCCAACACCTTTGTTTAGAAACAATGCAAGTGAGTAATTTCCTGTTAAGGCCAAATGTCTACTTTAGTTCACTCTCTATTAGGCTGAAGGATTACCTCATGGGAAAGGATCATTTAGCTGCAAGTAGCACAAGAAGAAATACACATCAAGTAACTAATCAATAATGATTCTTCTGCGGAACAGATTGGCAAGGACAAACAAAGACAAGAGAAAAAAGGCTGTTGTTTAATTTAGCCTTTGTTGGTTGGGAAATGAATAGGAATCCGAAAGTTTTCAACTGAGAAAAGGAACTCCTAAGCCTTGTAACTGTTTTGTCCTTTAAAAACTGGGGAAGATAGAAGGGAAGGAGAAATCCTCTAAGGAAATTGGCATTTTCAAACCAGACATTTGCAAAGGCTTACATGAGAAAACCAAGCAAAACTGATTCTCTGATATCGAAACTAAAGGAATTTAGAGGAATTAGAGATGTGGTTACAATGTGTTAAATGCACATCTAATGAAACAGCCTTAAATACGTCTCCAATTCATAAATCTCTAAGCAGCAGAAAGACTCTAAGGCCAAAATCAGAGTTCCCTAGTTTAAATATGAAATACGTATGCACTAAGATCGGGGAGGGGGAGGGGGAAGAATAAAAACTTTCTCCTCTTAAATACAACCTCTGTGGTACATTTGAGGGCCTTAAAATGTTCTCAGCATTGACAAAATTTTACTTAAGTATATTCTCTAAGCTATATTGGAATACCTTTAGATATACAAATCCACGTTACACGAAACAGCATTAGATCATGTAACTGGGCTCGTAATAACAAGGAAAGAGGGTAAGTATGCTGCTATATGTGAAAAGAATTATATTACTATGCACAGAAAATACGTTGTCTTAGAGATTAGTAATAATGGGCATCACGGATGAAGATGCATCTCTTAAAGTGTTTAAGCCTTTAACTGTGAGTCAATAGAATACTTTTATGTCAACTCTACAGCCTAATGCTTTGCTTGTAAAAAGGAATACATTTTTCTTCTCTGTCATTTTCAAAAGGAGGTCACTCACCTACTGATATAGCTAGGGTTTTGGCTTTTTTTTTCTTTTTTTTTTTTTTTTTTGCTAGTTACTATTATCTTCTTCCATGTTATGTACAATAATCTACATTTAGACTGAAGACTCACTCTCTTCCAAAACATACCTGGACTATCTTGTCAAAACTTTCTACAGCGTTGCTAAAGTGTAAGACAACCTGATAGGTAAGAGGAAGGATCATTACTTCCAGTTCTGCTCACTTCCCCAAGCTTTACAACTGTGCCTTTCAGAAATTCTTCTGCGTACTTGGTGTCCTTTCACCTCCCCCAGGCAACCCCTACTGAACTTGAGTGAACTTCCTATATATTTCCAAAACCACAGTCCCTCAGTACAGAGCTATATTAAACTCATTCATTCTCCAGCCAGTAGTTTAAAAACAAATCATTTCTAAAACACTAAAACCCCCCTACATGCCCTTGTGCATTATTCTTACCAATTTATACATTTAAATAACATCAGAAGTTGTCTTTTGCTAAAAATTTACCAAAATATTTTAAACACATAAAAATGTAAAAACCCAAACAAACAGAAGAACAAACCAAAAACAAAAACCCAGCATAAACATTGCTTGTATAGGCATTGGTTAGAAGAGATTGCTGCACTAAGGAGTATATTCAAAAAAGTTTTTCTTTCAGTTTCATTGGATTTAGTGTCATGGATTGAAAGGTTAAGGACAACGAAACATATTGTGACCCCATCTTATATGATGTAATAGATGAGCAGGAAGTCTGAAATGCAATTAAAATAAAGCTTCTTTTTGATTACTGAAAGGTGATTGTATAAAGGGGGAAATTTAAGTACATAAAGGGAACTTAAGAACCTGAAGAGTCTTTAATGAACTGGATATGAAGACAGCTACCGACTGATGGCCCCAGGGACATTATGGAAGGCTGGCACTAACTGAAATTTTGAATACAGCCCTTAGTTGTATCATATTTATTTAAAATTTAAAAGCTGCCCAGCGTGTCACAAATGAAGTTTATTTTGCAAGCCACCCACTGCCTAAGGGGGCAGTAATATTCAATATGAAACTGCTGAAACTCCGGCGTCTGACGGATTTCATGGAGAAAAGAGATTTGAAGGTCCGACTCCAAGAGAACAAGGAGAAGAGGGAACACAAACAACAACAGTCCAAGGCCTACAAGGAGAAGTCTGGAGAAACTCTTCACAAAGGCATTCACCTCTATGTTGCCCATTAGAAAGTCATAGCTCCACCTAAGTGCTCTCCGAGCTTCTTTCAGTTCTTCCTCCTCTGCAATCAAAAATGCATTTTCATCTGCTTCCAGTTCCTCAAATGAATCTGTATCATCTTTCTCATTCTCTACTCTTGGACAGGTATCAAAGAGCATGTCAATCTCATCATCAACAGGGGTGGGCAGCAAGCTGGCACTAGGATTGTATACCAGTTCTGAGATGGTTAAAGGTTCTTCTTTCATCTTCTCCTCCTGTTCAATGGCAAGATCAACATTCTCCCCAGTGTCCTTAACTGGGGAGCTTGAAGTCACAGGTACTGAAATCTCATCTTCCTTTGGCAGTTGGATACCTGAAAAAAGGAGATGAAAATAGTGATCCTAAATTTCTGCCTTCCTGGTGGCAAAACTCAGCCTTCCAATACTATCTAATAGAGGTTGGAAAGAAAATTCTGCAATCACTTTGCATATTGAAACCAGACCACACACAATTAGCAAAAACTGGAAAAGCTTTCTGAAAAGCTCCAGAGGAGGGCAACATCTTTTACAACACTGCAGTACACCAGATCTGCTTAACTTTGTCTGATGCAGCTACCACTAACAACGGTGTAATGCAAAACAGAACAGCTTATTTTCTTCTGGCAATCAGACTTCTGATATATATGAATACCTAGTACATATGTGAATTGGTGCTATTTGGTGTCTAATAATAATAATAATAATAATAATAACAACAACAACAATCCATCTTTATTTCTTTGAGATGAATGAAGAGAAAGTGATAAGATAGTGGTTGAGATTGGGAATTTTTAATAGAGCATGACATTAAAAAGAGACAATAGATTATCATGATAAATTCATATTAACAGTAAGGAGGATAAAAGGAGAGGAAGGTTAACACACAGTATGAGGATTAGGTATCATTGAAATGGAATGGAAATGCCTCACCTCTTTAAAAAATTCCCTCTCCTCATGTCTCATTTTTTTACCAGTCATCTTTCTACTCTTCATATCCACAGTCTCTTTTCTCCCTCTCCTTTAAATCTCTCTCTCCCCCTTACAGAGGAGTCTTTCTTAGCCTTACTGGTATGCTTGTTTCTTACGACCCCACTCTCTGCCCAAGCTCTCTCTTCTCAACACTAACTACCCTTTTCCCAGTCTAACACTAACAGCAATAAATCTGCAAGAAAGTCTAGCTGTTTTGCAGCTACATCAACACTGCAGTGACTGCAGTTGTAGGAGTGGAAGGGAGGAGAGTTGGGCACAGAGCTTGGATAGTGTGATGGGAAAACAGTTTTAAATTTGTCCCACGTCCAACACTCATTACCATCATCAGATGCCATCTATGTGTAAAAGGAACAGACCATACACAGTATCATGTGCAATAGTAATACATAATAATGCTTAGTACTTCTTGTTTTGTGATGTTAAGCATTGTGATGTTAAGCACCTCTCCATTCTTTACTAATGACTAATCCAAATGCAACATACAGATAAGGATATAGCAGGTAAAACCAATACAAAGTTACACAACTTGTCCAACAAGTAACTCAGGAAATAAATGTCAAAGTACTACCTATAATTCAGATTAGCCCAATTATTTGATTTCAGCGAAAGATGTCTGTAAAAGATAGCAAACTGACATCATCAAAAATTCATTCCAGTATTAGTGCATAAAGATTAAGGTTCAGAGATTTTACAACAATGTGATATAAAAGAAAATGTATTACTACAGAAAAACAAGTAGTCAGAAAAGCATACATCTGCTAATTACACTAGACATATAATGGTTTTCAGTGTGAAGTAAAAGGGTCTCAGCAAGCTCTACTAAAGTTTTCTTTTAAAGGATGGCAAACACATAAAAAACCTAAACTAAACAAAACGCCCATTATGGTCATTTTGCGATAAGGGAAATAAGGCACGATCAGAACCATGCTATAAGGGAAAGATGCATCACTGCTCTGTAAACATATGATTAAAATTGAAAAAAACAAGGACAAAAATTGAAAAGCAAAAATCCCTATCATAAAGACATCTACAATATAGGAAGATACACAGCTTGGACGCGTTTTACTAAGCTACAATTTTAAATAGTAACGCAACCAAAATTCTGCAAAGAACCTCACTTTGAGATCAAAAGCCTTTTTTCTTGAAAATGTCCCTGATTTTTTTTTTACATTATTAGTCCTAAGAACTGTAGATACCATTCACTGTACTGAAATTACTAACTTTGTTTCTGAAACCTACTTTCTCTCTGTTTGACTAGATAGCAAAAGAATATTCTTATGCCATTACCTACTGATCATTAAATTAGCAGTAGGCATAACATTTCAGCGAAGCTGGTGATACTTACCTTACTCTAGACTTTCTGTCACAAATTTTGCATTTCTTGAATTACAAGGTCTTACAATCTCTATTTTCAATTTTTTTTTTTTTCCCCCCTGTTGTATCTACCATGACTACCATGCTCAGGGCAGGACATATCCACGAAAATCTCAGTTTCATAACTGATACCAGATCTGTGCACTACCAGGTCACTCAGCAGTAGACCTGCCCTGAGCCAGACACAGGCACATGATCACATTTCTGCCAGAGCCCGAAATACTCTGTATTTGCAGAAAAACCTGCCAATACAAAGTTAACATGTCAAAACTTTGTAAATGAAATTAAAGAAGCAGATTAATACTTTGTGAGACGGGGCTGCTGCACTAGGAATCTTAAAGCTTGTTAAGATACCTCCTCATGGAAATATCTGCCATAGTACCTTGCTGTATGCCAGCGTGCCTGACAGTTACCGCAAATTCCTCCATGCGACCTCTGCAGCTCTGTTAGCATGTTCTCCAGACAATCAAAACGGTAAGTAAGGTACTTGCAAGTTACCCCAGTTTATAGACTTCCCAAAAATTGGGTGGGCGATGACTTGTTAATATCTGGTAACTTTAAAATTATAGTGAACTTAATACCAGTTGGGATGAAATGCCAACACATGCAACATAAAATATAAAACATATTACAAATATTTCTAAAAGATATAAGAAATGACAGAACACCTGCACTTTGAACCTACTTACAATAAAACACTCCCTGAACAACCCAGCTCGCTCCTTACCTGACCAGACAACTTTCTGGATCCCCTTCTTAGTGCATGCTCTTACATGTCATGTTATATTTGTTACTGAAAATCTCTTCATTACAGAACACCATCCTCAGGAAGCATCCCCCCTTCAGTAGAGCACATTAACTATGAAAATTTATTTCCCCTTCCAAGTCTTCAGAATGGGCCAGACAGATCTCTTCCCTTGTAATTTGTTATCTTTTCCTGCTCTCTAGGAGATAAGCTGGCCATGCCTCCAGGTGAGTTTTCACATTCTGGCTAAATCAACCAAAAAGACCATTTCTGCTTCCTCTCATTTCATCCCTCAGCAAGCCAGCTTGTAAAGCTGACCTAGGAAGATAACTGTTTTTCCTCCTGGGTTAGTTCTCTGATGGTTTTTCTTCCTGACCTGGCTTGTCAGATGTTCTCACGGGTGCAGCACATTACAGGGGATGGAGAGAGAGCAGGAGTGCTCCTTTCACCAGCACCTAGCCAGCAGATCTGCATAGTTGAAATGAAACCTTGTCTGCAATAAAGAAAATGCAGATGTCTCCTCGTTAGCTCTTAATTTGACTGCCTAGCTAATAATTCCTTGCCTGAACTACTCTGTCCTCTCCTATCACAACCATTTTAGAAATTCATCACATTTCAGCATGAAACATGTTTTGTGCTGGAACTTACTGTCTACACCAGTCTTCGCATTAACAAATACACTTGCCACAGTCATCAAGAGGAGACATCAAGATCTAGACTGAAACTAGACACAACAGTATACGATCGCTAAGAGGTGAGAACAGATTTGGGGGGATCTTTCTCCTAAGCATACCATAACAGCAGGTAATGCTGGATCATCAAACCATACTCCGAGTCATTTGAGAGTGCACTCATGATACCTTAAACTATAAAAGCCAAAATTTTTAAACTCTGGAGCCCAATATTAAGCATCTACACGTATCTTTAGATACACAAGTACTACACTTCGATTTTCAAATGTGCTTTTCACTTTCTCTTAGTAGGAGTAAAAGGTAAGTTGAGCCACTTACTTAGGCACCTCAATATGGATTAAAGGACCTAATTTTAACCTCCCAAATTTGAGAATCCTGGCCATAGGCTTCTCTATACCTGCTTAGACGTAAGGTCAGTAATACATCTTCATCATGTTTCTCATCACGGAGAGGACAGCTGCAGCTACTGCAAAGAAAGGTCACCCCAATTTATGATTCTTGAGCCTTCTCTCCTTCTCCAGAGTAAATTCCAGCGTGCATAACATACATAGTGAGCATAAACAAGAAAGATCATATTAACTTTAATTAAAACTGTCTTTTTCTCAAATAACTGGCAAATGTCTGACTTTGTGATTAACTTGTAGACAGAAGGCAGCAGAGGAACCTTTTCAGATGAGTGTTTTCCGAAGGGGTTGTATTAAAATTGGAATGGGTCGCAGTTCCGAAGCATACATCAACTTTCCAGTCCACTATTTAGTTTGAGCGGGTAACTTAAAAGCAACACAATCAGAGGAAGGTACACATGAAACTAAAACAATTACTACTGCCAATCCATCCTACCTATACTCTTTACCTAATACAGGTAGTAAAGGAATTACATCCTATTCCATAGCATCAAAGCAAAAAACAAAAAGTTCAAAAAGTAAAAAAGAATTTTCAGCTGTTTTGTATCTTGTTAAAACATATAACATCAAAGTAACTGCATTTTATATCAGCCAAATATAAGCGTAAATAAGTAATATTTTAATATAAAAAATTGAAAATTTGGAATGGGCATTAACTGCTGCTGGTGCAAGGTCATTTGATATTTAAAAAATTAAATATATCAAGCTGTTCTTTTCATTCCTTCATATTCCCTACAAAAAAATAGCACAACATTTCTCAAGTCAAGGACTGAGGAAATACTTGGCTATTAACCATGGTCAATGTAAGCCCACAGCAAAGTTCCAGTCATGTTGCAATATACAGATAAATATGTTGAGCCACTCAGATTTTGATGGTGTCAAAAGACCCAAGTGTAGTGTCATTATGACACATATCATTTACAGTACTTGTGTAGGCATAAGAATATCACATTAAAGCACCGAAATTCAAAATCATTCTACAGTACAATAAATATTGCAGTGACACAAATTTAAAAAAGAAGCAAGTTCTTCACATTATTTACTTTTTGGATAGCCTTCGAGAAAGTCAGTTATCTGCAGTAATAAAACCAGGTTAAAAGAAAAAAAAAAATCCTCAGAGTCTTCCAGTG